CAGGCTCACGCGAACACAGGAGTCATCCAATCTAGTGCCGCAGGAGGTGTTGGGTAGCGCTCTCAACCAGACGGAGCCCAACTCACTTTTGACAGCCATAATTCTAGCCTTGTCAAAAGTAGAGCCATTCAGTTGCATCGATCAACTGATCTATTAAGACAGGGGGCGATCCAGTGTTTTTGCGAGGGGTTTTCGAGCGCAACCACATCTCCGTTGGTGGCGCGCCACATGTCGTATACTTGCATTCTGAAGTTATCGACATAAATCCCATCCCTCGGCAACATCAGATCCTGGAGGGCCACCGTGGCAGCAGCAGAAGCCAAAAAGGCAAAAGGTGCCAGCTCAGCCGCGGAACCCAAACCCAGGCCACCAACACATATAGGCAGCGTCCCCTGCAACCAATTTTTTTGATCGAGTTTTATGTTGAAGATGGACTGGAATGCGTCACGGAGGTGATCGTCAAAACTATTGAGGATCGAAACATCCAACAGAGGGGATGTTCTCAAAAAATAAACAAGACGAGGCAAAAAAGCAGCTTGTAATAGAAGGACCATTGCATCATGTTTATTGATGATATTTAGCCTTTGGGTGATAAGTTTAAAATTTTCAAATTTTTTAGCTATGGATATGTTTTGGCTTTCACCAGGAAAAATTATTGAGCCTAGAAAATCGATCTCGTTTTTTTCAAGGATTTTAATTGGATGTTTAATGTTAAGTGTAATAGGTTTGTTCATATACAACTCGCATTTTTCAAAATTAAGTTTTAAACCTATGTTTTTTTCTGAATTTATAATAGTATTAAGGTCGTTCAAAACGGACTCGACATCACCTCCCAATGAAATGTCGCGTAGGTAGGCAACAACAAATTTGGATTTTAGTGTTTTAATTAGTGGGTCAACAGAGAGTGCAAAAAGAAGGGGACCCAAAGGATCTCCCTGCTGAACACCCTCAGCTTACAGGATCCTAGTGTCGCCGAAGGACAGGAAAGAAGGCGAGTCATAAGCCGAATAACAAAAATTGAAAATCTCCGGCAGAATAGATCCAGTTCAACATATGGTCGCGTCTTAGAGTATTAAAAGCGTTGAAAAAATCCAATTTGAGCAAACACTGGCCATCACGCGTGCCATCCAAAAATCGTCTCACTGCATGTACCGCTCCCTCTGCCCCACCACTGACGCCGACACCCACCTGTTGTGGCTGTAAAATTGGAACCACTCTGTCTTTGACGGCTAACATGGCGCATTTTGCGGCCAAGCGCCTCCACACACACCCGACTGCTATGGGTCTGATCCC